CAAAAATGAAAATTCAGGCATCATTTACTAAAACAAGATGTACTGAATAATGTAGGAAAGCAGCAGCCATTAACTTTCATAGTATTATTTTGTTTTTACTGAGTCTTATTAAATGATGAGGAAATGTTTATTTTTGGGTGATCAGTCCTTTAATGTCGGCTTATTTTTTTTTCTATTATTATTATAGATACATTTCCCCATATAATGTAGAAACAAATGTGACCCTGGATCACAAAACCAGTCTTTTGTTGTATGGGCGTATGTTTTACATTTTATGGGTCAAAATTATTGATCAGGTTTTTAATTAAAGATCATGGTCTATGATATTCTATGATAATATAAAATTTTTCTACTGTAAAAATATCAAAACAAAATTTTTGATTAGTAATATGCATTTTTAAGATCTGGACAACTTAATTTGGACAACTTTGGTGATTTTTTTCTCTATTTAAATTTCTTTTATCTTCAGATTACATAATGTCCAATAGTTGTACTGTATCTTAATCAAATTTTGTCATAAAAGAACAAACCATACATCAAATCCTAGCTTCTTCCTGCAGCTTTATATAATAAATCTCAATTTATTGACACTCATGACTGGTTTTGAGGTTCAAGGTCACAAATGTTGTATATTTCGTACAGCATCTGGTGCCTTTGCTCTGTAAGCACGGTTCATTAGTATACTCACCAGCCACTTTATTAGGTACACCTTACTAATACCGGGTTGGACCCCATTTTGCCTTAATCGTTCATGGCATAGATTCAACAAGGTGCTGGAAATATTCCTCAGAGATTTTGGTCCATATTGACATGACAGCATCACGCAGTTGCTGCAGATTTGTCAGCTGCACATCCATGATGCCAATCTCCCATTCCACCAAATCCCAAAGGTGATCTATTGGATTGAGATCTAGTGACTGTGGAGGCCTTTTAAGTACAGTGAACTCATTGTCACGTTCAATAAACCAGACTGAGATGATTCACGCTCTATGACATGGCGCATTATCCTGCTGGGAAGTAGCCATCAGAAGATGGGTACACTGTGGTTGTACAGGGATGAACATGGTCAGCAACAATACTCAGGTTGACACAATGCTTAATTGGTACTTATAGGCCCAAAGTGTGCTAAGAAAATATCCCACACACCATTACACCACCACCACCAACCTAAACCGTTGATACAAGGCAGGATGGATCTATGCTTTCATGTTGTTGACTCCATATTCTGATCTTACCATCTAAATTGTCCAATTTTGGTGAGCCTGTGCTAATTGTAGCCTCAGTTTCCTGTTTTAGCTGAAAAGAGTCGTATCCAGTGTGGTCTTCTGCTACTGTTGCCCATCCCCCTCAAGGTTGGACATGTTGTGTGTTCAGAGATGCTCTTCTGCATACATTGGTTGTAAGTGTGGTTTATTCATAAACTAATTTCGAGAGGATCACGTGCTTATAATCAACACGGCTGGCTCCTTATTAGCTCCGTAATCAGCCCTATTAGATGATTAGGGAAGTATTATAAATAACCTGAGTTTGTCACTCCAGTTATCTTCGTCTTGAAGCCCCCCCCCTTTCCACCCCTTCATCCTCCTCCTTTTTCTGATTGGGCGACACGGTGGCCCAGTGGCTAGCACTGTTGCCTCACAGCAAGAACACCGCCGGTCCAACCTTTCGGGCCGGTCGGTGTTTCTGTGCGGAGTTTGCATGTTCTCCCCGTGTTCGCGTGGGTTTCCCCCGGGTTCCCCGGTTTCCTCCCAACGTCCAAAACATAAACCATAGCCAGTTGACTAAAACAAATTATCACCCAATACAACCTTAGTTCACACTTCTCACGGTGACAAGCAGGGGAGTTTTCGAGACCTACCTGACCTCGAACTCCCCTCTCGCCCTTCTAACGGGAGGGAGCCCTGGGCTTGAGGATATTACAAGCTCAGGGTTCTCTCCCGGGACAGCATGCCAAATACGCTTTATTGATTATCAGCTAAGTGTGAACTCTTGAATGAGTGGTTATTGGAGTTACTGTTGTCTTTCTATCAGCTCAAACCAGTCTGGCTATTCTACTCTGACCTCTGGCATCAACATGACATTTGCATCCACAGAACTGCTGCTCACTGGATATTTTCTCTTTTTTGGATCATTCTCTGTAAACCTTAAGCATAATTTTGCGTGAAAATGCCAGTTGATCAGCAGTTTCTGAAATACTTATCTGGCACCAACAACCATGCCACTTTAAAAGTCACTTAAATCACCTTTCTTCTGATGCTCAGTTTGAACTGCAGCAGATCATCTTGACCATGTCTATATGCCTAAATGCAATAAGTTGCTGCCATGTGATTGGCTGATTTGAAATTTGCTTTAATGAGCAGTTGGACTGGTGTACCTAATAAAGTGGCCAGTGAGTATGTGTTAGTGTTAGTGAAAGATGATTCTTAGTCTCCTTCCAAACACCTTGGGGTGATGCTTGACTGAAATATGAATAAAACATGGACCAAAGTCATCTAAATGAACCGAAAACATGAGGTTGTGGTATAATTTTAAAGGAGTGAATACTCATGTCATTTGTTTTTAAGCTGTTCTAATGTAGTGCCATTCTCCTTTATTGTTTCATTTATTCTGTATTCTGTACAAATAAACATCTCTTATTTAAACCTACCTCCAGTCTTTACTGTCATCTTGCACTACCACACAGAGCAGCTCGTGTTCCAGCATGGCTTTTCTGTGAATGTGGCTGACCAAATCAGCGTTCATTTGTTAACTGTAAGACTTCGTAGGCCAAAAATAAAATCAATACAAACAAAAGGCTTTTGATGAGACTTGTAGGAAAATATTCCTTCACACTGGAGTGGTTTGAGGACCGGGGATTTTTTGCACACTCTTTTTTAAAAGGTATACCTGAAGACTGTAATTTTAGTTACGATTATATCATGAATTCTTGAATGAATAAAAAAAACACCACTGCCAGTTAATAATAAATCAGTTTATTCACGAGGCAAAATAATAATAATTTTACTATATTTGTGTTTTGTGCTGAAAAACATTTTCTTCATAACTAAAACTGTAGAAACAGGCTAAATGCTCAAAAAGTCTTAATAAGAATCTGTCTGTTCTGCAAACAAAAAACATTAGACAGGAAGCAAAGAAAATGCCGAATGAATCTAAATTATAATAACAGTCTACTTAATTCTAAAATATTCATTCAAATGAGATATGAGCTCACTCATTGCTCATTTTAAATGGTTATAGCAAACAGTTAAAGGTCTCTTTAAAACTATGAACACACTCATTAATATTCTTCAAAAAGTAACTTGTTGTCGGGGATGCAGAATACATATTAAACAAAAGTAATCTAATATGAAGAAACTATTACTATTCAATGATGCTTTATCTTATGATTAGCCTATACCAGGTAATGAAAGCAAGTCAAGGAAAGCCAAACAAAAAAGGGAAATCCAGTTTACCTATTATCAAATGAAGAGTTTCCTAACATAGACAGTATCGTAAAATGCTGAAATCAATAGCAATCAGAGATGGTGTTAAACTAATAAAAATTAATAATAATAATAATAATAATAAATAATCAGAATTATTAATATTAATTATAACAATATCTATTATTATTATTTCAATGTTATTTTCAGGCGATATGATTGTATTATATTGCCAATGGGCTTTATTGCTCCAGAAAATGTTTATTAAATAGAATATCTTCAATATTTTAATAATTACTTATCTGTAGATTTTATTATAATTAAAAAAGATTGTCTGCTTTTAATGTGAGAGCTCTGACACAGCCATTTCTAACATGTTCTTAACCCAAAATAAAAATTTACTCACAATTTACTCACCCTCAAATGGTAACACACATTTATGAGTTTCCTTTTTTCTGTTGAACACAAACAAAGATATTTTGTAGTGGTAAACATCTGTAACCAGTAGGAAAAACAAACACAGATGTCAATGGATACAGGTTTCCAACATTTAATAAAGTAAATTATTTTGTGTTTAATAACAAAAAAAGTAAATCCAAACAGTTTCATGACAAGTGTAGATTGAGTTAATGATGACAGGATTGAACATTTTTTATATGTTTTTGATAACATTTTGGATAACATTTGGGAACCTTTAACATTTACAGGCCCATGTACATTTCCTGATTGTTAACAAATTATTTCATAACTCTAACAGGAGGCAATTCAATCATAACTTAATGTTAAAACAGCATCATAACGTTATTGATCAATATGTGGCTCTTTTTGGATTCTCGGAAGCTACAGAAAAAGCTAAAAATGTAAAACATGAAATACTCTGGGACCATTGTTTTTCTTTACATCCCTCAAAATGGTCTATGCAGAGCAGATGATACTTTTTGATTAAAGTTGCTGTTTACTGACAGCCTTTCAGACACTTGCCTCAGTAAATCAGAGCAAACACAAAGGGCTGAAAAACAATTATGAATTATGAATGAATATCAACAAACACATTACAATAACTATTCATTAATGACCTCTTTACATGCGTAGATCACCAAAAAATGAAAGTTTTATCAATGTTTATGCACTCTCAAGTGGTTCCAACCCTTTATGAGCTGCTTTCTTCTGTTGAACACAAAAGAAGATGTTTTGAAACTGGTAGCCATTGATTTCCATTATTATAATTTTTGTGCTATGGAAGTCAATGGCTTAAAAAGTTTGAAACAAGTAAAGAGTGGACAAAAGATGACAGAAATGTCATTTTTGGGTGAACTTTAATGATGTAGTGAGTGTGTGGAATGGCTGCTTGAAAATATGCTTTTTATTAATTCCACTAGGTGGCACAGAAGCCACATATTTCACCTAGATGTCTTCTAGCATCTAACACACAGGTGTCAAACTCAGTTCCAAAAGGGCCGCAGCTCTGCACAGTTTAGTTCCAACCCTAATTAAACACACCTGATCAAACTAATTGAGTCCTTCAGGCTTGTTTGAAACCTACAGGTAAGTGTGTTGGAGCAGGGTTGGAACTAAACTGTGCAGGGCTTTGGCCCTCCAGGAATTGAGTTTGACACCCCTGATCTAACAGCTGTAGACCACTTATTGATTATGCCCAAGTTTCCTCATAATGAACTTTTCAAGAGCAGCAGCCAGAAACTCTGCAATTATTTGAAGATATCTGTTGTTTCTCTCAGCCTTTTCTCTGGCCTCTCTCTCGTGTCTTTCCCACAGCTCTGTCATGGCCTGTTTCAGAGCCTCTGCTTCAAAGCTGGTTTTCAGCATCTCCAGTTCCCGGCTCCTCTGCTCTTCATTTTCTAGCAAGATTCGCCTTTTCTCTTCCTCAATGGCATTCTCTGCCTTCTCAAGCATTTCATTGGTGTAAAAGTGTCCTCCATTTCCAGAAATTACCTTTTGCATTTTCTCAAAAAGTTGATCAACCTGCAGGGCATCCTTGGCTTCATTATTGAAAACATGGTATTGCTCCTGGCATTTCTCAAAGAGCATCTTCAAATCAGGATTTCCAGTGATAAACTCTTCAATAGTTTTCCCCTTCAACTCGTCTCCATGTGTAAACAAAATCATGAAATGTTTACCTGCATCTTCTCCAAAGATCTTGAGAAAGATGTCCACCGTGTCTTTGTCTTCTTTTGTGAATCGGCCAGGCCGAAGCACCAGAAGGAAGACGTGTGGACCAGGAGCAGAAAGAGGGATGGAGAGCTTAATCCTGCTGACTATCTCCTCTATAGTAAAGCTGGGGTCAAACAAACCTGGTGTGTCAATAACAGCGACCTTTGTGCTGTTAATGTTCTTTGTAGCCTTCCAGCAAACTTTCGTCATGGATAAAGATGAAAAATCCTCTTTGAAATATTCTGCGCCTAGAATGGTGTTTCCAGCTGCACTTTTCCCAACTCCAGTCTTCCCCAAGAGAACAATCCTGAGCTCCTCATATGGATGTCGCTGCTCTGGAATTGTTTAAGAACAAGCATTGTATTATTGTATAATACATATTTATGTAATTTAATTTTTTAAAAATGATTTTCTTCATAAATTTATGTTACTTTATAGCAAAGCATTTGCTTTAGGAAATATGTGCTTTGTACAGTGGCCGAGAGAGCTTAACATGCTGCAATTTAAGAAAACACGTACAATTACAAAAAACATTTGCAAATTAAGAAAAGATCTTCATCAGTTTGATAGCACATGCTGCAAATCCTCACAATGCAAACACATTTTACAAACAATTTATTAAAATGTGCTGCATTTTCTCACAACACAAATAGAACGAAAATGTTTCAAGGGGACCCAAAACCATGACAGATGCTGCTGTGTCATGTCTATTGTTCAGTGAAGTAGAAGTACTTTGAAAAGTTTATTGTTTATAGTTCATTGTTAGCTTATTTTAATATCTTGATTCCAGTGTCCTTGAAACATTTGCGTTGTGTTATGAGAAAATGCAGCTCGTATTCGTAATTTGTTTGCGTTGTGAGAAAATACAGCGCACATTTTTTAAAAATGTGTTTCCGTTTCTGAAGATTTGCAGGACTTGTGCTGTCAAACAGATGAAGATCTTTTCTCAATGTGTTGGTGTAATTTGTAATCGCACATATTTTCTTAAACTGCATGCACGTTAAGCTCTCTCTGCCACTGTAGCTATGCCATCGTTCTGAAACTGTTGTGCAAGAATCCACACACAACCACAGTTTTACATTTCTAAATTTGTGCAAGGATGACAAAACCTCAGTGTCCACAGTTTTTTTTCTTATTAATTTGATTCCTTTAAAAACTGAAACATTTACAGAAAAAACAAACAAACAAGCCTTTAATTTCATGTTTCAGATTGTTTCAATATTCAAAATAACATTAAAAAAACAATATTTATAATATACAAATATAAAATATATTTGTATAAAAGACAACATTTCCATTCATTTTTATTCAATAACTCGTATATAAAAAACATGTTTACAAACAGTACCATTTGTAAGTAAAATTGGACATACTTTTCCCATCAACTAATAGGTGCTATTTTTTCAGATAGATAGATACACTGCAAATACACTCTTACTTAGATTTTTTTGTCTTCTGTCTAGTCCAAATATCAAAAAATTCTTTAATCAAGAAGAATTTTCTAAACAAGCTAAACATATTGTCTTGTTTTAAGAAATAATGTGCCAAAATTAAGTGTTTCCTTAAAACAAGCAAAAGATTTATTTAGGCAGATTATTTAGCTTGCACTTAATATTGGCATATTATTTCTCAAAACAAGAAAATATGTTTCACTTGCCTAGAAAATGCTTCCTGATATAAGAATTTTTAGATATTTAGATCACAAAGAAGGCAAAGAATCTTCTGCAGTGTAGACATTTATGTTTAGTAGAAACACTTTAGAATTTGACGGGATATAAATCTTTACTATTTAAAACAGTCAATATACAATTATTTCTTCCAAAAAGGCAATGTGTGTATATACATGACAAAGTGTTCTACACTAGCCACATAGTGTCAGTACAAAAGGACGCTACAAACATACAACAGGACTCCTGGTTTGTGGACATTAAATCTGTTTTATTTTGTACATAAGCAAAAGGGATATAGCAGTGTATAAAACAGGAAGTCTTTATATTAACTTGTGTGCTGTCACATTTGCCACAAGTAGATGTGCAAAAGCAGTGCAAAGTTAAACGTTTGTGTGTGACTTATCATTTCAGAAAAGCTTGAATAAACTCCACCACTAATCAAATGACTTGGCACTTTTGACTAATAAACTGGATCCCTGCTTTATCTGTTTCTGTCTCTGACTGCTGTTTACCCATGCAGAAAAAGCAGATATGTACATGAGAGTGGTGGGTGGGGAGAACCAGCTCATTTGCATTTAAAGGTACAGGCTACAAAAACAGCTTTGCTGACCCTGAAAGGGCATTTTTAGCATTGTATAATACAAAATCTGTTACATATTTTGAACTAAAGCTTTACAGACACATTCTGGAAACACCAAATGCTTGTCTTAAATCTAGTTAGAAGAGTAAAATAGTTGCCCTCCAAGAACTATTTTTTCATAAATTTCCTCATAAGAAATAACAAGGGTACTAAACCAAAGAAATAGACTTTCCCTCTGTTGTCCTTGTTCAAAATAGCATGCATCATTTCCCAAAATGTTTCATTTTGAGGCACATCTGCTTTTACGTTTGTTACTCTCTCACTTAGGGCACTTGGAGCAACTGGTTGAGTTGGTATTGGTGTCTTGTCTGCTGTACTAAAAATGAACAGAGCTGCTACAGCTGCAGCAGCAGCAGCAGCAGCAATGTAAAAGTATTGTGTTTTCCAGGATTTACTCTGCTCTCTTTTCGTCCTAACGTAATATTTTTTGCTTCTCTTTCCTATCTGATGGTCCAGTTTCTCAAAGAGCTCGCTAACCTGGCGTTTGTTTTCTCTGTCAGTATTGTTGAACACATGATACTGTGATCCACATTTTTGGATGAGGTTTTGCAGGTTTTTATCTTCTGCTATAAACTGGTCTAAACTTTTATTCTTTAGTTTGTCTCCATATGTAAAGAGCACTGTTGTGTACAAATTCACATTTGAGCACAAGATCTTCTGCAGAGTGTCCATCACTCGTCTTTCCTGCTCAGTGAAGCGGCCCAGCTGAATAACCAGGAGAATAGCGTGGGGTCCAGGATCACACAGATTCAAGGCTCTTAGCACTTCTTGCTTCACATGAGCATTAGGCTCATCACAGTTTAAAATGCCAGGAGTGTCCACAACAGTCACTCTCCTCCCAAAGACAACAGCATCCTTCTGTTCACTTGTTAATGTGAGGGAAGCGGCACTGATGTCTGAGTGGAATTCCTCTTTGTTCAGAATGGTGTTTCCGACTGCACTCTTGCCGACTCCCTGAAGGCCGAGCAGAACCAGACGAAGCGGCTCCTGTGCTCCTGGAAAAATGGAACTTTGTTTGTTCAAAAAGAAAATATACTCAAAACTGAAAACCAGCAGTATGTTACACAAACTTTGTACACGATAAACAAATGTTTTAGTCCTAAGCATCAAAAAAACAACAAACAATTGTTTTTTTAAATAAATGATTTTTATTAATATTTCAGCTTGACATAATTATTACAATGTTGAACTGAATAAAGCCACAGTGAAGTATTATAAACACACACAAAGGATCACAAACTGAGAAATCAAAACTCTTTTACTCTTTTAAAGTTTGTATTGAAGTCTTTCTGCCAAATATACAGGTTGTGAATTAAATACTTTATTATGTAATTGAGCGCTAAAACTCTGCCTCCACAGAAGATTAAAATCTGCAGCTGTTGAACTTAATCTGAAATGCGGAACTGTAACTCTTTTCTGCGATTGTTTTTGAACTTCTTATTCAGTTGCAGAAATGGAGAATGGAGAAATGGTTAGGAATGGTCGAACTACTTGTTCTACAAGTCTGTTATATATAAAAATTAACATAAAAGTTAAATAAAACAAAATTAGCATAACAAGCTGTTTTTATGGCTAAAAATTATTGGAAGTGAATAAGACTGAAAGTCTTAAGCCAGTAAGGTTAAAATTTATTCTGTGAGAACAACTTGCTGGATGTACATTATCCTTTATTTACCTTAATCATATCAGCATCCATCGGAAGGATGTTGACTGTCAAACATAATGGCAGATGTTTAGATTGATAGGCACAGAGCTGCCTTTTTGACTACAACTTAATCTTTTTTAAGCCATACTTCGGAAAGTTTTAGGTTATGTGTACACTGATGAGGCTAGCAAAACAAGGCAGAAAAGTATTTGAAAAAAATATGTTATTGTTATTAATAGACCTCTATTAGTAGAATTACAAGCTTGCAGACAGAAACTAGTTTATAGTAAATAATAAGTTAATTCACTCAGTAATTTTAATCAATGACAAACCAATGAGTGATTAAGCAATCAGACAGCTCTTCTCACTGAAGACAGCAGGGCTTTACACCAACAGCAGCAGCAGAGACAGTAGCAGCAGCAGCACCTCCTGCCACAACCAAACCAGCTTTTAGAAAATTATTGTTTCTTTCTGCTCTGTCTCTTGCCTCTTGCTCTTTTATTTTTAGCTGTAAAAGTCTTGCTTTTTCTTCTTCTATCGCTCTCTCAGCTGCTCGAAGATCATCATTAGTGTAATACTCTTCACCATTTACAGTCATAAGCTGAGCAATCTGTTCAAACAGCACATTGACCTGTTCTGGATCATTTGCATTGTTGTCAAAAGCAAGGTAACGGCCACTTGTAGTTTTGATAAAGTCCAGCAGATCGGGACTTTCGTCAACAAACTTGTGAATGCTTTTTTGTGTTCTCTTTAAATTTTCTCCATGTGTAAACAGCACCATGGTGTATTTTGATGCCCGTTCACCAAATATGTTCTGAATTTGCTCCATAGTTTTTTTTTCCTCTTCTGTAAATCTCCCAAGCTGCAAAACTATGAGAAAAACATGAGGGCCCGGTGCGGAGAGGGATATGCACAGTTTAATCTTTTCCTCAATGACGGTGCATTTCTCTTTTGTGTCAAACAAGCCTGGAGTGTCAATAATAGCCACTTTTTGCCCATTGACATTTTTTCTGACTTTGTCACAGTCTGTGGTCACGGAGGAGGAAGACACGTCTGATCTAAATGCATTTTCTCCCAGGATGGTATTTGCTGCTGCACTCTTTCCTACTCCAGTCTTTCCAACCAGCACAATTCTTATTTCACTGCTCGTCAGATTCATCTGCACTGTTAAAGGAAATGAATATTGTTACCTCTAATCTCTAATGTGGTTTGGAGCAAATTTTCGCTTTTAAAAAGGAGTTTTGAGCTTACATAATGTTTGCTTTTGTTATATTTTGAATGAATAAAATAGCCTGACTGCCCACACCCACATTGCTTTTGTGTATTGTCAGGACTTTCTATATGTTTCTTTGTTATATATTCATATAGAGGAATGATTTAAGTGCTATATAAAATATATTAAATGGTTCTTCAGCAATTCTTTGGGGTGGTTAATAGCTATATATATATATATATATATATGTTAATGTTTCAGACAAAAAAAATATTAACTCATAAGTGTGGACTATCAGTATGAGGTGGTATTTTGTACCATCAGTAGGGACAAAAGTACAGCGATATATTCAAGATTTATGCAATATATTATAGATTATTTAATATATCTAATTAAGGGTATATATTACTATATCTTGTTTATTTTGGCCTGAATATGACCTGGTTAATATATTGAATGCAAATATATTATGTGTGCAAAAATAATTAAACTGGATTTTCATTTTAAATGTAAGTTTTATTTAGATGTAAGTTTAATTTTTTCTAAATCGAAATACTGCAAACTTTAATGTGGATGTGAAAAAAAGGAATGACTTTTAGTGGTTGGACATAAACAGCAAACACAGGAATTCCCCTCAGTAACTCTTACTTTTTAGGCCTGATTTACTTCTAAAGGAAACTGACAAACTTAGGGACACGTTATAGCTTGAAACCTGTAGACTGATCATAACCGTGCCACATAAAAAGATAAACACAATTTGTAATGTGGTAAAAAGTACCGCAATTTATTTTAAACTGAAATTCGGCACACACTGACGAAATCAGGTGACATTTGGCTCCATCAAAGGTTGCATGCAGAAAGTGCTGTTATAGCCTGGAAAGCAATGCTGTCAGGACTCCAGGAAATCGCTTTGTTATTTTCGTCTCCTCACCTATTCTATATTTTGTAAAGCTCTTATTTTTTTATCTAAAAAAAAAAAAAAATAGAACTTACATTACTGGTTGTCCCAAACTGCTGGTTGCCCCAAAATATTCTAATAGAATAGTAATAAGACATTTTTTTGTTTTCTTTTTCACTATATCATATTTCGATATCCATAAGTTAATATTAAACATTCTATACTAATATATAGTGATAAAGTAAAGTGTAGATAAATACTCTGGAGCATTTAAAATAAATATATTTATATTGATGATTTACCTTTGCTGGCTTCCATGACACCAAAGACTTGAGTATAAGAATTTCCGTTTTTGGTTTTACTTTGCTGAAGACTTTCCGTCCTGTGCAAAAAGAAACAATTCATCCTCTTTTTACAGTGCTTCTTTTTAAGCCCTTTTCTATCCAAATATATGTTGCAAATACGTAAGCAAATTCCAGACATTTTTCATAACATTTCCCTTTGCTAAAAAAAAGAATGAAAATAAGCATTGCATGTTTGGTTTTGGTTATGTCACTTTGGTGCGACAGCCTATAGGTTTTTGAGAAAATGTTTGTATAAGGAAATCAGGCAGAAGTCACAATGAGTGCAAAACTACCGACTGGTCTCATTTATATGCAAGTATGTAACATTTACAAAGCACATTTTATGTGTTCTTAATGATCCTAAAATATTGTTTTCATGGAATCAAACCATAAATTTCAGCCCAAAGTGTTTAGAAAAAAACCTTGAATCCTAAACACACCTACACTCAAAAATGATGTTTGTTCAAATGGTGTTTGTTCAAATTTAACTACTTATTTAAAATGAGCTGATACAACACAATAATTCTTGAGAGTTTGGTGGACAGCTTAATTATTTTTTGTCCAATCAACTTAAATTTGTTAAAAGTAATGTTAACTTAATTCCTTTATGTTGTACCAACATAAATTCATAGTTGTGCAACCATCTTTTACAGCGTATAAACATTTAATTGCATTTGTCAGTTCAATTTATCGATAGATTATCTATTTTTTGACATAATCATTTTATAAACAATATAAAAATTTTAACATTAATTTAACATAATTTAAACTAATAGACATTAAGAAATATGCCTCTAAATCTAACCTGACACAATTATTGAAACAAAACACGGCAGTCACAGTCCTTGCAACAGTTTTGATACAGTTCAGATAATAATTTAAATTGTGAATTGCTAAAAATATCATCATGATCACCGCATATTTATCATTCATACACACATCATAAACAAAAGATGTTGCAATTACTGATCAGTGTTTGCAAGCTGGAAATCTTTAACAACACAGCAGATGTTTTGAAGTTTAATTATAACTGAAGGATATCAATGTTCATATAAACTGTATTACATTTGTTGCATTTTTTAGGATTTTAGGGTTCCGTTGTCAGTCACCACATAGCAGAGAAAAGGAGTGTAATGTAATTAAAAACTAATGACATACAGCTAAATACAGGTTTTATTCCAAAATTTTAATCATGAGGAATCATTGTTACAATATACAATATCCACATCACCATAATTACTCAAGCATTAATCAGTTAAAGTTTGTACTGCAAACAATAGCCCTTTGACAAGCTGCTATTCAGATTTGTTCAGTCCTCAAAAAGAAATACAATCTGAATCATCAGCAATGTAGTAATAAAACACCTGCGCAGTGTTTGCTAGTTTCTGTTAGTGACACAACAAGCTTTGTGTCCTATTCTGTAAAAAATTCAGGGTTGTCCCAACACCAATTGATTAAGTTAACTTAACACTTTTATCAAATTTATGTAGATTGAACATACAATTTTTTTAGCTGTCCCAATGAAATCTCAAGAATTGTGTTTGAGCTCATTTTATTTGAGTAGTAGAATGAGCAAAAAATATATATTTTTGAGTGTATGAACTGTAGTTATATGAGCTCCTATAACTGTATCCAAGTCAAGTCACTTTTATTTCCAAGTGTTTTATTCTATTATGGAGCAAAATTGTTTGTGAGCCAATATTTCTGAAACAAATTTTGGTAAGAAATACAATCTTTGCAAATTGCTTCTTTGATTGTCTTGAACAAGGTCAACAGCGGTAAAGATGATGAAAAGAAAAGCTGAGTGTATGTGGAGGAAGACAAAACTAGTAGTCCATAATAACATCTATAAAGACAGTCTTCATGCTTTTAATGTGGAACTAAACACTGCTAGGCAGATTTTCTTTTTAAGCCTTATGAACAGCAACCTAAATAATGCTCCTTATCTCTTTGCAGCAGTAAACTCACAACCTTACAAAATTAAATCTCCCTTTCATTGGCAAAATCATTGAAAAGGTTGTTTTTAACTAACAAGTTCTTAAACTTCAAGGGTTTTTCAATTTGGTTTCAGAGCACTTCACAGTACAGAGAGCACCCTTATAAAGATAATCAATTATATACACCTAAATACAGATTCAGGCACACTAACAGTGCTGGTACTGCTTGATCTCAGTGCTGCATTTGACACTGTTGATCACGGCATACTTCTGGATAGGCTGGAAAACTGGGTTGGGCTGTCTGGGATGGTCCTCAAATGGTTCAGATCTTACCTTGAAGGGAGAGGTTACTATGTCAGTATAGGTGACCATAGGTCGAGGTTGACACCCATGACATGTGGAGTCCCACAAGGCTCAATTCTGGCTCCTCTCCTGTTCAACATTTATATGCTCTCACTGAGCCAAATAATGAGAAAGAACCAAATCTTCTACTACAGCTGATGATGACACTCAGATCAACTTAGCTATAATTCCTAATGACTTCAGCACTATTGACACCCTCTGCCAATGCATTGATGAAATTAACAATTGGATGTGCCGATTGGGAACAATGTGAATGTGTATCTTGGCACTGAAGGTCAAACAACAAAAAATAATGTCAAGCATCTTGGTGCGATTCTGGAAACATTGCTAGAATTAGATGCTTTGTTTTCAGTGAGGAATTAAAGAAACCTGTTCAGGCTTAATCAGCAACAGGGTGGATTACTGTAATGGACTCCTCAATGTCCTTCCCAAAAATTAAAATTAAATGAGTTTTCCGAGAGCCAAAACAAAACAAAACGGGAGATGGGTATGAAATACAGCAGACTTCCCGGAAAAACAGGAGTGTTGGCAGGTATGGTAAAAAGCTAGTGGTGTTACCAAATAAATGTACTCATAAATTTCATAAATAAATACAGTTCGTCTACATATAACCCTTGATCAAACATCAAATCTAGTGCAGCTGCATACCTGCGGAGTTTCTCACAAATCCATCCAGACAGATTTTCTCACAAATTGATGGAGGCAGATTATCTTACAAATGTTTTTAGGCCAATTTTAGCAAACCATCAATGAGTTATGGGTGTGTTTCGAGCATAACATGCGTTAAAATAAATAGTGAGAATGCAACCTCTTCTAGCCACTAATCACGAGCAGCAAAAAGTTAACATGGAAAAAAAAAAATACATTTACCCTTACCTAATGGTGATATGGACATCAGTTACATAATTATGTGCCTTAATCATAAGACAAATATATGATTCATGTGTTTATTTCAGTTGCTTTTTGAATGTACCTTTCATTTTACATGTTATAGTAGGCTAGTTGATATAACATCATAATATCACTATTCAATGCCAGTTTTCTCTAGTGTTTCACCCAACAACAGTTTGTGTTCATCATGGCACCATTTTTATTTTTATTTTTTGCTATTTTATTGTTAATTTTTGCGACACAGCCAACTGAAGTTAATTTCTTACACTATGCATGCAAACAGATAAAAGTTGATACACATTCTTAAGAAACCTTTGCCATTTAATTCTATAACTTTTTATTCATGGCATGCCCCCATGACAAACTCTGAGGTCCTAGTTGAGATCACAGTGATTGTTTCCTGCTCGCACTGAAAATATGCTCTTGCAAGAAGCCATTCTCATTTGTTTGCAATCAAATTCCTGTCAACTGCCTTGTGTATGTCCTGTCGCAAAATTTAGCAAAAAATTTCTA